AGGGGCTGTGTATTGAAAGGAATATGTTTCCCGTGTGCTTAAAGTATAGATGTTTGGGATGCTCATTGCAGCAGTGTTTGCAGGAGATAAGTAGTGAAAGAGACTAAATGTTGGTCGTAGGGACAGCCTTACATTGGGATATTAATCCAGCTATTTAAATGCAACAGCCCCGCTTCTGACTACTGTGTAAACTGCTGTCCCTGACATATTGTTGAGTGAAAAAGAAGAGTTGTAGAATATGTACAGTAAGGTTAATTTTTATGTAACAAACCCCCACATTTTTCTATGTCTATTATCTATAATATGGCTTTTTTGTATACATCCTTTTCTCCTTATATAATTCTATTTCCTTCCATCTCTGTCTACATATATTCCTCCTTATGGTCCTATGTACATAGGAAAGGAGTTTAGAATAACACAAAGTAAACTCTCAAGAGCGTCCCCAGGGAGTGAAATTAGGGAGGAAAAGGGATTACTTTTTATTTTTACTTTATGCAATATGTGCTTTGATTCCTTGTTTTACGACACGTGTATAACTTTTATAAATATAAAAATGAAAAGTATTAATTTTCCAAATGATCCTCATTCCTGGAAACTGAAGGAAGTGTCCAGAACGAGGGGCGCATCCAGCCGGCGGACTCCCTGCGATTGTGCTGCTGCCTGGGAGAAGGCAGAGGCTGCTCTGGGCGAGGAACTCAGCAGACACCACAGGAAGCGGACACAGCAAAGGCTGGCGCTGCACCTATTTTCATGACCGAGGGCTGGAGGCTGCAGGGCCAAGACTGAAGATGTTCGTAGCCACCCATTGCCCAGGTGTGGGCCTGTCCAGAGGGAGCGGGATTTCTTTGGTGGTTAATCCTGGACAGGGTCGGGGGAACCTGGGGGAACATGATGAATCTTCCCGTTCTTTCCCTCCATCCCCTGTGCTCTAGCCTCATGGTGAGTGTCGCAGAGAGACGAGCCACCTGTCTACATACCTTTGGCATCCAGGAGGGGCACATGTTATAACAACATAATATCACTCCAGACACTGGAGGCCTCTCTTCCTAGAGTTTGTATGCAGAGCGCCTATTTCTACCCACGAGGTCCAAAGTGGGTGAGAATAGAAATGAAGTATATGACACGCAGGGGTCCCCGGAAGAGCCGTGAAGTCAGGGAAAGGAGTTTGGCACAGTTAGTATCCAGCACAGTTTCAGTGCTGGCCAGACTCTCCCCATGAAACACTGCAAAGCAGCAACATTGACATTCGGACGTCAGTTCCTCTCCCTGCTCTCCAGGCTGCCCTCCAGTCCCCTGGCCCATTCCTGCTGGCCTATAGCACAGTCCATTAGAGAAAATGATCGAAATATGTCCATGAAGCAGGTGACTAAAATGTCCTGCTTTCATGGTGATGACCTGCATTCTGATCCAGGAAAGAATGCGACAGCAGACCCACCACCTGGCTCCAAGATGCCCAAGTAACACGGGAGCCGGGCATGAGCAGTGTGCTTCCCTCAGGCAGCTGCCCTGGGGGCTCTTGTAACGGCCTGGGCTGCTGGCTTCACACAGAGGTGCACATGCTGAGGAAGTACGGGGCACAGGGGTTGGAAATATCTGAGCTCAGGTGTAAAAATAGGAAAGAAATAGTTTGGCTTTTATTCCCTCTCCCTTCCTCCATCAAACCCTTTTCTGTCCATCCTTAAGAATAAATCCTTAAAAAAAAAAAAAAAAAAAAAAAAAAAGAATAAATCCTTTATCCTAGCCTTGTTCTTTACCTGGATGTAACGGGTCACTGTGACCACTTCCAGACAAAAATCAGTGGCTTCTGCTCTCGTGAGACATACTTTTCTAACAATCACTGCACTGTACAAAATACACAATAATGACCACAGAGCTCATGGGGGAAATGGGACTGAGGCCCCTCACCCAAACACACATAAAAAGAATGCTAGGGAAGGGGGGGCGGGGAGGGGAGAAGAGATGATAAGAACCTACTAAAAATACAGAAAGACAGCTATTTTATACAGCAAATGATTTAACAACACATAAGAACTACAATAAATATGGCCCTTTATCTAAAACAAGACCGAAATTGGCTCAGAAACCTGAGTGTTGGAAGGGTTGCAGCTTGTGAGCTACTGGGAAATGGCACGTGAGGGTCCCCGGGGGAAGCGCGGGCTACCAGATGGGGACCGCTGTGGCTCATCACACACGTGGTGACAGGGGAGCCCAAGGCCGGTGGGTGTTTGAGGCGTGTGGGTGTTTGGTGCACCCTCATGCTGGGTCAGCCGGATGCGGGTTCTGCATTTACCTCGAGTTTCTTGCAAGAGAAACTATGCAGAAGCAAACCCAAAATTCTTGTTGTACCCAAACGTTTCCCCGGTCATGATCATGTTGAAATAAATTCTCATCTTCAATACAAGCATTATGGCAGAACTGACTGAATCCAGATAATAAAATTATTGTGATTTAAAAAGTAAAAAGTAAAAAGTGAATAAGACCTCAATGAGTTGATGCTGTGAATGTATAATAACAATAAGGTTAATATTACTAAGAACATACGACTCACATAAACCTGAGCCCCCTTCTTTCCATTCGAAGGTCCATCTCAACACAGTGATAAATGCAAGCAAAATGCAAGTTGGGCTCCATCATTTTGAAGCACATTGCCAGTCCCGAGTGAAGCCTGCTGAGCTCTAGGAAGACGTCCTCCTTATCCCTCCTTATCTCGCCACCCTTTTCCAAGAGTTAAAAAGTTCATACCTAGAGGTACTATGTTCTATTGCCTGTAACAAATTACCACAAAACCGGTGGTTTAAAACCACACAAATTTACTCTTTGGTAGTTCTGGAGGCCAGAAGTCCAAGTGGGTATTTCTGGGGCTCACAGCGCGCTGTTGGCAAGACTGACTCCCGGTGCAGGGACTCTTTCGGGGAGAGCTCCATTTCCCGGCTTCCCGGCGGCGGCTCCGGTGTTCCCTGCCTTCCGGCCCGTCACTCTGATCTTCCTGCATCCCTCTTCTGATCACACGGGGCCACATGGACAACCCAGGGTACTCCCCATCGCAGGGTCTGCAATTTAATCCCAGCTGTGACCATGAAGGTAACAAGAGTCAGAGGGCCAGGACGCCTCTAAGTGCCACTACGCCAGTGATGACATTCCAGGTCCTCAACAACTGACAGGCCACTTAAGAGAGCGTGTCTGATTCTTGGAAAGGTCTGGACTGTGCAGGATCCTGGCAATCCCAACATGCTGGGAAGTGAGAGGGTCAGGCTGTGTCTCGAGAGGCGCTGCGGCACTGCAGGGTGGGGAGGAGTATCTATCTCTCCAGGTAGTGGAAACCTTTTCCAGGCGGTACAGCCATACCTGTGTGCTCCGCCTGAATACCAGCCTGTCCTGGCCTGCCAATCTAGGCTTCTGTCATCCTCTAGCCCTCATCCCTGACCAGCACACACATCTCCTGGGCCCTGGTCACAGGCTGTACTTTAGTCCTTGAACTTGGAATGTCCATTTAGGCCTCACCACCACCCTATGATTAGATTCTACATTTATCTTCTTTTTGCAAGAACATACCCAGGGTCATATGTGCTATTAACTGTCAGGGTCAGGGCTTGAACTCTAGCACTTTGACTTAGAAGGTGAGCTCCTAACCACTGTGGTTAGGTCTTCAAGAAGACGCACATCTCTTTGCCAGATAAGGGAAGCATGTGCAGAGACGATGAAGGCAGCGTGGAGGTGCCAGTGGTGATCCCTGTGCATTTCAGAGGTTTACACAAAACCCTCTCCCACAGAGAGTAATGGTTACAGGGAGGCCTTCTTGTTCATACAGAATGAAGTCTTATCTACTCTGTATGACCAAACCCAAACACTCCTGAATAGACAGCCTGTGATAAAAGTAAACCAAGTCCAAACTCCAATTTATCTCGGCGGCATAACATTCTAGAATAAAGTATGGCTGTGAGCATGAAATGAGACAGAGGAATAAAGTCTGGAGTCAGCAGTTTTGTTTTTAAGACCTAACTGACTGGCACTACTTTTGGTGATAATATTCTACTTAACCTCCTCCAGTGCAAAGAGTAGCAGGGACAGGAGCAGCAGTGAGGAGCCTGACCCAACCACTCCTGGACTTTGAGTCTTTTATTCCCCGCTAGCTGGTCATATTAGAAGTGTACTGTTCATGCCAGAGAAAATAATATCTAACAGAAAAAAGTAGCACCACACAAAGAGAAAAAAGAATCATTTGGGGGTATTTTTAAATTTTGCTTTTTGTAAAAATAAATCTTGGTTGAGACACAGTACTAGCACTTTCATTCATTGAACTGAAGAATTACACAGAATAGATAAACATGAGAGACTGTTTTAAAAAATAAAATTAGAGTGAAATCTTGATTGAATTTCTGTACAGTTCCTTAAAATCATTTATCCCATGTGTAAATCAGATTAAATGCCAGAAGCAGAGATAAATACTATTTGAAGATGCTTTGGAGAAAAGTTGGAAGCAAATTCTACTTTAAACGCTTTAACCTGATTAAAAAAAAAAAAAAAAAAAACCTGAAGTACTCTTGCTAATTTGGAAAATACCCCCGATATTTAAAATTTCCTAAAGGTAGCTCTCCTCCTACATTTATGATGGAATACTGTGTGATTTCAGTCAAGACGCATAGTTATTACCCTAAGAAAAAGTCCTGCTTTCCACGGGCAACCACCTTAGTCATTACCAAAGTGCCCTTATGACTGTAGAGAGACCAGGTAAGAGGCCAGGGGAGGCAGAGAGAGAGATCAAAGTGTTTTTGTTTACTCCTTTCATGTTTGGTAGCACCTATTGTTTACCATGCACACTTTTCAACTCATGCTGAAAGTTGGAATTCACCCATCTCTCTTTTCCTGTCTGAGGTGCAGATGGAGCACATTCGTGGAGTCCGTCCATCCCTGCCCCCATGTGTTCACACATGCACACGCACACCTAGCCAGTGGAAAAGAAAAAGGGTTACTCACATTCATCCACTTTACAAAGATTTCCAGGTTGCGATGGGAGGGCGTTAGCTCTCCCTGAAGGATGAATAAATACGCAGCTCCACTGACAACCTGTTCACAGTCAAACGGAGGTGACAACTGAGACCCAGGTCTTGCCCTCCTGGCAATTCTGAGACCCAGTCCTGGCAACATGCAGTGGGTAGTCTTCTGCCTGACGGTCATCTTCTCAGGGGTGGTGGCCCGTAGATCCAGCCACCAAGGGCAAGATCTCCTCTTGATCAGACTGCGTCACCTTATTGATACTGTGGATCAGCTGAAAAATTATGTGGATGACTTGGTAAGGCTGCACTTATCACAACAAAATTTAAGTCATATTCTTCAGTTACTATAAAGGAAGGTTTTTGACTTATCAAAATAACTCAGAACTCATTTTCTTTTGCTCTAGGACCCTGAACTTCTGCCAGCTCCAGAAGATGTAAAGGTAAGACCAGTTGAATTTGTTTGATAGAAGTTTTTAAATTCAATTAAGAAAGGCACTAGCATGATTTTTTAGGAATATAGTTAATTTCAATGAATCTGAAGGTTTAATAATTGATAAAATAGTGTTTTCTATTTTGGTCAACTATTCATTAACTTACCAAAAAGCCAAACAATAAAATGCTGTATATCTTATAAAATATATATTTTATCTCCAAATATCTCTAAGAGTACATCTAAGTAGTACTGGTGAGATGGAATAACAAAACTAGAAAATAAATCTATGCTATGATCACTTTCCGAACAATGACTCACGAATTGCATTGTAAGAGCCCTTGTGCATGAAAGTTCTTGAGCCTTTTTGTAAAGCTGTCTAAGAAATACAGATACACACCAGAAGAAGCAGAATTTACCTCTTAACACGAAAGAAAGAAAGAAAGAAAGAAAGAAAGAAAGAAAGAAAGAAAGAAAGAAAGAAAGAAAGAAAGAAAGAAAGAAAAGAATGGAAAGAAGGAATGAAAGAAAGAGGAAAAGAAAGAAAAAGAGGAAGGAAGGGAGGGAGGAAGGAAGAAGGAAGGGAGAACAAAAGAAAAAGAAAGAAGAACAGATTACAGAACAGCTTGGAGTGTGGAAAGGCAGGCCGTGCAGTAGAATAGACTTCCCATATACCTGGCCTCCAAGGGTCTCTCCTTTGGCCTTCAGTGAAGTCTTTTGAAAGGACCATTTTCAGCAACTCATCCCATTCTCTTAAGCCATTTAAATCCATTGAGTCCAGGGAAGAGGCCTATTGTTCAAGAGAACCACTTCCTCACTAGTCCTCACTCCTCTTCAGGTTTGATACTCTGAGGATATAAATGCAATTGGGGAACTGTTTTCATTGCCATGGACTTTTAAATGCATAAATTAGAATAACTGTAAAAGTGTTACCAGTAATTAGGACACTACAGAGGGGGAGACTTAAGAAGATACATAGCAAAGAAAACAATTATGGTAAATGACTGTGTAAAAGTTTAGAAAGTGAATGAGTCACAACTATTGCTTTTCTCTAAAATTCACTCTCTAGCTCTGAACGTAACCACTCTCATTCACTAGGCCCTTTTCTAATAAGCAGCATCCAAAATGAAAGTAGCACATTCAGTTTATTGGAAAGACTTTTCCAATAAGTAAGAATATGTCTTAATCAATGCCCTAATTATCAAAACATAGAATATTTTTCAGCATCTCACGCCCTTTGTTGAATAGCTGTGGTTAGAATTCTTTCTGGAATTTTTCGAACTATAGTCTATAACTTGCCAAATAAGAAATAAGAAAGATATCCTATTTTATGGCTTGAGTTGACCTAGTGGGTACTTTCTTCATAAACTTTGTTAAAGAGAAGTGCTTTTTCTCTTACATCATAAAGTGAGGGTTTGGTCTTGGTGACCCTGTATGCATCTAGTGATCTGATCAAGCAGCCCTGGCTATGATTCCAGTGAGTGGTAGTATAACAGGTCGGTAAGCTCTACTGACAGTAGACTCAGGAAGGAAGAAGAGAGTGCATTGTAGTGCTACCTCAAGTTTTTCAGAGCTAGCATCAAAGCAGGTTCTATGAGACTTACAAAGATCAAAAAGTTTAATGAAAAGAAATCCATCTATATTTTGCAGATAAATATTGCTATGTACTTATTATCTAAGATCTCTAATTGGTCTGGCCAGGAATCTTCCTTTTTCTTTCTAATCCTACTGGTGGTTCTGAACTGGTGGTCACTGCTCCCCTACCCCCCAGAACATCTGTCAATGTCTGGAGAAATGTTTGGCTTCCACAGTTGTGTGTGTGTGAGTGGGTTCGATTGGTATCAAGCAGATAGAGGCCAGGACGCTGCTAAGTACTCCAGAGCGCACAGCACTGACAACAAAGGCTTACGCAGCCTGGGTGCCAGTAGTGCCGCTGAGAAACCCATACTTAACCCTTGTTTGTGTGTGGGACAAAGGTTATTTTGTCCAATTAGTAAGACTTCCCAGTATGAATGGTCATGGCTTTAAAAAAAAAAGTAAGGAAGTTAAAAATAAGCTGTCAGAGGGCAAATATTTTCAAATATTCAACTGTAAAAGGATAAAGCCCTGCTCACCTCCTGGGGAAAGCAGCATTCGCTGGACTGCTCTGGGCTGAGGACAGGAGTGGTTCGTGACTCTGGCATCTGACCCACTGCTCCCTCTGTTCTGCAAAACACACGTAGGACAACTGAGTCCATGTGTTTTCATGTATTAAAGAATGAGGGGAGCACAGCATGGGACACCCAAGCACCTGTTCCCAGGTGGTGGTGCCACACGTGAACTTGGGGTCACCCAGGAAACCCCTGAAGTGAGCAGCAGGGCTCCTGCGCTACCTGGACAAGATTCCTCTGTCCACGCCCCTTCTTAGCAGTGAGCACACCCTTTTTGCAGCTCCTCCACCTCTTTTCCTCCAAGGATGCCTTAGCCGTGCAACTGGAGTCAAATCCCGCAGTTCCTGGTCCTGGCCATGATCGCTAGGGGACAGCTCTGCTACGTGCAGCAAGCACAGGTTCAACACAGGAAGGGCAGGAAGGGGAGCCCAGCCCCATCTGCAAGAGTCCAGGCTGCCAAAGCAGCCATCGCTGGTCCCACCACTCCTGGCAATGATGGCTCAGGGGGGCTTGTTTGGTGGGGCCCTGCTACTTCTCCAGAATCTGATCTTTCAATACACATGTAAATGTTAACTCAGCAAAACGGGCCTCTGTGAGAAATGTTGGTTTCTCAGATCAGCACAGATGAAGCAGTTAGCGTTTTCAGTTTCAGCTGGAAAATTTACCTCTTTAAATATGAATATTATTTTTTCCAGTAAGTTAAGCCGGTTGTGGTCAAAAAGAAGAGAAAAGAAAAAACTTCAACAAACAAGAGAATGTGTGTGGTTTTCAAGGAAAAAAAGTGCTATAATTAACATTTATAAATAGTTTCTATTAAATAAGCATTTTGGCAAACATGGGAAGGACACTACCTTGCCCTCTTGAGAGGCAAGCAGCTCTGGTAGAAGGAAACCAGATAAGCTGGTTCTCAGATTGTGGCTCTGTATGCAAAGCAAGCCGGTGGGGTTGTCTCCAAGTGCATGATATTAATCAACACATCCATAGCGGGTGCGCCAAGGTGTTGGAAAATGCAAAGCAGGCCAGGCGCTATTTTTAGCTGACTGTCCATTGAGACTCAGGTAGCGACCCAGAGGTGGGGGTTTCTGGTTGTACGGCAGTGCTTCCACACTCATGGGTGAAGGGAAGACGGGGCAGCTTGGGGGAGGAGGGTGGTGTCCTATGTACACACTGGCTGAAAGAGAAAAGAAAGTTGGATACAAGTTCTTAGATCAGCACTAAAATGCTTTTGACAGGTCAGTATAAACTTCGCTCTTCCAATAGGCTTCATTGTCAGTGTGATTTCTACGACTCTGACTTATTCGTTGGCAACTAGTTGTTGGGCTAAATCAAGAGACACATTTCAATCTTCATTCTGTCCACCACTTCTTTGTGCTCTGAGAGTTTGACTTATCCTCTTACTTAACTGCCTGAGAAACCCTCTTCCCTCCCATTGGCTGGGCAATTCAGGCACAAACCTTCCCTACCGGACGTGGGAGTGTGAACAGCAATTTAGGAATGCCAAGCGTGACCTATGGCGAGGGTACTAAATCTGCCACCTTTCCCCAAAGGAGGGGCCTTAACCCATTTACTTCATTCACTGATTCCATGAGTATTTCCTGGGCACTCACCAGCAACAAGGCTCTAAGCCAGGTGTTGGGCAACATCGGATGTTGCTATTAGACATTCTATATAAACCATAGAGCCAAACAGAATACAGATGAAAAGACTCTTAATCAGATCACAGCGTAACTCACAGCACGCTGCCACAGGTCAGTGGGACTTTTAGAGCCTCATAACTTAGAAAATTCCCTTTCAAAACTGCAGCCCCCGCCCACCACTCAGACCTCGGGTGTTGGGAAATACTGGGGAATGTGGGCTCCCTCCGGCTCCTCAGCCCCAGGGGAAGCAGGGCTTGAAATCATTCCTCATTTTTCTCTGAAATGGATGGGACACTGTCTTACAAGTAAAAAGGGGGCCTGGGAAGGACATGCTTACTCTCTGAATAACTTTCGTTAACATATCCACAAACTGTTTCCCTTTCAGAGACACTGTGAGCGATCGGCTTTTTCATGTTTTCAGAAGGTCCAACTGAAGTCAGCAAACCCAGGAGACAACAAGATCAACCTATTAACTAAACAGCTGATGAGGAAACTACCTCCCACAAATGCAGAAAGAAAACAGAAACAGAGACTAGTAAGACTGACCTTTGCTTTCCATTTTATCTGTCCTATTGACTTATAACACACACACACACACACACACACACACACACACACACACACACACTCCCTCACTCCTTAGCCAGAGCCCCAGTGTCTTTCTGCAACTTGCACTTTATACACAGTGTTGTTTTGAGACATGAAGTCACCCCTCATAAATCCAGAGGCTTGAAAGTGCCCAGAAACCCAAATGGAACTCACTGACAGCCCCTGGGCCTTGGAGCACATAATACAGCTTCCCACGGTGAGGGAGTCACTGGGCAGAGAATTTGGTTGTGACTTAGGAGCAAAAAAATACTTTCCTCTCATCAGATGCCACATGTAACTTGCATTCTAATTGACAGGAGCTACATTCTAGCTTTCCTATAAGGAAAACGACAGCCTGACAGAGATCAGGATAAATCTCAAAGTTGGCCTTCCTCTCTTAAAGAATATTACTGCCTTGTGCAGTCAGAGTCCATACTCATTTCAACAGTGGGCCCCATTATGCGGCTGGAGAGTTCCAGTAGTCTCCAGTTTGAGGGGCCCTGAGACCCTCATGTATGGCCCTTCTTTTGCCAACTCATGAGCAATGCTGATCCTCTCATGAGTGATGTAAGCATTAACCAAATTCAGTAGGTAAACACCAAAGATAAATTACTCCCCCATTTTTTTTTTACAAGTTCTCTCTCCTTCAAGGAATTTCATATGTGATTCAAAAGAAATCTTAGTTACATTGTTGAAATGATTTTTACTTACTGCCATTGCTTGGCTAGATCACAATGTGAAAAGTATTCCTCTCAAAGTATCCTCAGAAAGAAAGGAGCTGAGCATGTCCTTGAAATCCAGTATCAAAGACGCATGAAATGGTAGTGCTGGCACTGAGCTTAGAAGTATCCAGTTAAGCATCTTCATTTAATAGATGGGAAAGGGACAACAAAGAGGCTAAGTGGTGTTTCTCCTACAAACAGCAAGAGCCAGAATGAGAACCAGAACTTGTATTTCCTCCTGTCAGTCCAGTGCTCTCACTACAGTATCAGGATGGCATTACAGATGCTAAATACCAGGCACTGGCATGGTGTGTGGGCTATCAATGTATTATACTTTACCCAAATAAGGGAAACCAAGAAATATTTTCCAAAAAGAAATATAATTGAATAATACCCATATGAAAAATTCTTCACTCTACTATAATCAGGTAAGTAGAAATCCTATTTTTCCCCCCAATAAAAACTTTTAACCCAATAATGGTAAAAATGCTCTATGTACATTAAAAGCTTATTTTTTTTCTCTTTTTTTTGTAAAAATATATTTTATTGATTCTTACAGAGAGGAAGAGAGAGGGACAGCAACTCAGAAATATCAATGAGGAAGAACCATCAATCAACCACCTCCTGCACATCTCCTACTGGGGATGTACCCGCAACCAAGGTACATGCCCTTGACCGGAATCCAACCTGGGACCTTTCAGTCCACAGGCTGACGCTTTTTCCACTTAGTCAAATCAGTTCGGGCAAGAGCCTTAAAATTTTTCATCCCTTTAATTTAGTAATTCTACTTCTAGAAATTTATCAAATAAAATATATAAAGATATATATGAAAACTATTCAGAGATGTTCTTTGAAGCAATGTATAAAATAGAAAATGTTAGAAGCAATATATGGGTTTCAAAATAGTAATAGTTCAATCCTATTTGGAATACAAAGCTACCATTGTGTACCATATTTGAACATTAAGGAATATTTTTAATATATTTTTATTGATTTCAGTGAGGAAGGCAGAGAGAGATAGAAATATCAATGATGAGAGAGAATCACCTATTGGCTGCCTCCTACACACTCCCAGGCATGTGTCCTTGACCGGAATTAAACCCGGGACCCTTCAGTCTGTAGGTCGAAGCTCTATGCAGTGAGCCAAACCAGCTAGGGCAACAATGAATAATATTTAACACAGAATAAATGCTCATGTTGTATATAAAAAGAAAATTACCAATCAGTGTATAGAAATGCAAAGGACAAAAATTACCAGAAGGGTCTGTATCAAAACATGGCTGTGGTTACTCTGAGGGTGGGATTACAGTAAGTGATTTTCCCCATTATTATTTTCTGAACAATTTTATGCATTTCCCAATATTTCATTGAACATGAAAAATGTCTCTAATAAAAAAAACAACAACAAAATTTTAAATGAATGTTTTATTCAATTTGGAAAAAAGTCTCAAACAAGAATATTACTTTTTCATTGATTTCTAGATGTGTCCCTCATGTGATTCTTACGAGAAAAAACCACCCAAAGAATTCCTAGAAAGACTAAAATCACTCATCCAAAAGGTACCACTTAAATTATGTTAGATTTCCTACCTCAATTGTACCCGGATGGCGTCCTGTGCGGGGTTACTCATGGTGCACTGTCTCCACAGATGATCCATCAGCACCTCTCCTAGAGCACGCGGAGTGGAAGGTTCCTGGGGCCTCACTGCAGCTGACACTATGTGCCGTACTCTAACACAGCAGGGACACTTGCTTCTGGGTATTTCTGACAGAGGAATACAATGTATTATGAAGAGGGGAAACTCTGTTCAAAGTCCGGATTATTCCCCATGTTGCTATGCAATATTTCAGTTTAATCCAGCTGGTCTGTGTTTGCCCAACTTGAAAAAACTGTTTATTGATTTCCTATGTTATGGATTTTGATGACTTCTAAAATTTTTACTTACCTGCCCAACTATCATATTTCTTGGTTGGGGAGACGTTAAAATTCTTAACCGAAAATATAGTTTGGGAATATATTTATCTTGTATTAACTTTGATTTTGATTACCACAAGAATGAGGTCTCTGATAATCATAAGTTAAAAGTGATACGCTATAATTCAAGCTAAAAATATAAGAAGTATAGGGTCAAAATGGAAAGCTGAAGTCTCTAGTAACTTAATGAAATGAAAAATGAGTGTCTAAAAATGTATAGCTCAAAAGTTTAGTTTTTATCTCAGAATGTTTAACATATAAATATATAATTTATTTATGTACCAAAAAGATATCTTTACCAGATGCCTACATAAAAGTCTTACTTCCTCATTGGGATTTATCAAATATTTAAATACGGTAGATGTGAATATATTTATGAAATAGACTCAATCTTTTTTTCTCTAAGTGGGTGTAATTGTACCTTTCCAGCTTGAGTCCCTTTATGAGCTAACACTGAGCTTATGAAAATGGCAATTAAAATCTTCAGAGGGACATCCTTCAGATGGTCTTCTGGAACCAGATAGAAGTTTTTAAAATCCTGAAATCATTACAATGATTGTAGTGAGCTAATAACTTTAAATGCCCATCTCTCTCTCTCTCTCTCTCTCTCTCTCTCTCTCTCTCTCTCTCTCTCTCCCTCCCTCCCTCCCTCCCTCCCTCCCTCCCTCCCTCCCTGCCTTCTTCTCTCCCTCCCTCCCTTCCTTTCTTCCTTCCTTCTTTTTTATTTTTCTTCTTCTAAAAATGGCAGACAATTTGTGTCTGCATGCTTTCTATCAGGCAAATTGTCACTTGTAGAAAATCAACGTCAGCCTACAAATCAAGAGCCTGGGAATCCTGTCCACACAGAATGCAGACCTGGTCATAAACATAGCAGTTCTCCAACCATGTAGCAAAAACAGGTGACCTGCTCCAAGTGCCATTTCTGCTCCAGCAGTTCATTTAGGTCAGAGGTTAGACTCTAGAAAAATAAATCTTCACTGGGACGTTATAAGCTATTTGGAAACCTTGTTGTTAAAATGGCTGTGAGTACAAAGGGAGATGTTGTATGGGAAATGCTTTATGCTCTAAGAAAAAACATTATCTACTTAAAAGTACCTTAGAAACGCGTACTTTTATAGTTCTAAAAGTTATGTTAGGAACCATTTATATCATCAGGTCACCATGAAATGTTTGACCATCGGAAACGAGTACTCTGTTTTAAAACTTGAAGATGTTATTGCAAAGGAATCCTGTGGATATGTGCAGAAGGACAAGGCTGTACATCTAACGCTTGCCTTGGTGTGAAGCAGTGCCAGGCCGGGTGCTAGGTGGGGTGAAACTGGAAAGCGGGCTCAAAGTTGACCTGGGAAGAGGAATCTTTTTTCTTGTTTCTGGCTTTCTAGTTTTTTTTTTTTTGTTTTTTTTTTTTTACTTCTTTGACACTGTGATTTTATATTTAAAATAATGTATTTATTTTGGTGTGTTTACTGTTAATAAGTCTCTGTTCTAGTCCCTTTGACCAGAGATTTTTATCTTTAAAGTAAAAATAATTTAGTGGGCTGAACCCGAGTTCAGAGACTCGGGCAGGATCCTCACAACATCCCGAGTGACAGCAATGCATCGGAATAAAGAGGACGAAGAAGTGAGTCCTGCCTGCTCGTGTTCCAGGCTTAGCCAGCCCTCTACAGCCACTGCGGCCGACCCATAGCATTACCGTTCACCTACAATGATCACCCAGGAGGCCTGAACTCCTGCAGGCTATGTCACTTGCTTAAGTGTTTTGGATTTCTATTTCCTATCTGTAGAATAAGGCTGTTGGACTTAATGTCTAAGGTCTATTCTGACTCTATCTTTAGAGCTTTAAAATCTGAATACTCTTAGAGGAATACAGTATTTGACTATATTTTTGAGTCAAACATTCTTCTGAATCCGATGTTCAGTTGATCAACGTTATTTCAATAGGATCTGTAGCAACAGTCACTGGGGAAACAAGAAAAGTGTTTTGAAAAAATTAAAAGAGGAAGAAAGGAAAGCATTGCTGGAGGTCCTGGGAGTTCAGGGAAATGAGTCATGATTTCCACTCCATTAGCTGAAAGTGTCTTTTTTTTGGACCCTTGCGGAGAACTGTAGCATTATTATCTATATATTGCTCTGTTGTATTGATATTTGCATCTGAGAATTTAGTTTTAATATGAACTATGTACTATATAATTTAATGATTATTTATTATATATTTGGTTTTAAATGTTTATGTTCATAGCTTCTTATTTAAGACCTGATCATATTAAATACTACTCAGTCAGCACACTGTCTTCTGTGATTCCCTGGAAACCTTTAATTCAATAGTCTTAGCAGAAAATAAAATGGATCATTAGTGTCTGTAAACTTGTAATTTTCACAGAAATATGCTAAAAACTATCTTCTCTCCTTATGTGCTTCACTGAAATGGCACTTTCCACTTCCTGTCCCTACCTTTAGGATACCATAACCTTTGCAGCCCTCCCAAAGGTATGGCAGGTGTGGGCGGAATTGAAGATATTCTTCCCAATGTCCATTACTTTTGTGCCAACCTCACTCCCCACTTGTCCGTCCACTTTTCTTATTGATGACTGATGTCTGGTGAACACTCCTCTATGTTCACCGAGGACTCAGGCACATTCTTTTCCTTGAATCCAGTGTTATTCACCAACTGGATGACTTCAGTGCCCACGATGAAGAGTCTGCCCACACTGTAGCTTCTCAGAACCTGAACTGCCTCAATTTCCAATGCCTGCCTCTTTTACTCCATCCTTGGACATTTCCATTCCCAGGTGCCAGATTTGGTCACAGATGTCACCTCTCTGTCTGAAGTCTCTACATACATGTGAAACAATCACCTGCTCATCTCTTAGTTCTTACACTGCCTCCTTCCATTCCATCAGTCCCAAGACCTCATCAAACAGCCAGGCCTCCCTTATCTGGCTTCCTGGGGTCACTTTCCCACTTCTCTCTTAGCTCTAAACACTCACCTGCTTCAATATCTGTCTCTCTCTATTCCAGGACACAGGATAGTTGGACGGGACCATGCCTCACAAGAAGAAGAGAGATTTGGGTGTTCATAGTCAAGCTTGTTGAAAGAGGAGTCTATGCCTGTCTTTACTTCCCCACTTCCTATCCACTTATCAAACCACCATAATCTGATTTCTGCCTCTCCCACCCTACTTCTATATCATAAAAACTGCCCTCTCTCTGGTCAACTATGACCTCCAAATAACCCAGCTCTCCAAAGTGTCTTAAGTCATCATCTCACTTGCTCAGCATAGCTTTTGCTACCTTTGATCTCTCCATCCTCCCTGACTGTGGAGGCAACTCTTCCTCCTGATCCTCGTCTGCGCTCTCTGCATACGCATAGGGTCGGTTATTGGCTGCTTTCCTGGGTCCTCCCCATAGAGCTCAATGTTCCTGGGGATTCTGTCCTTGGTTATCTTTCTCTTTAAATCTTTTCCCTCAACAGTCGAATGAGTTCCTGCACTTTGAATGCCCTCTGTATATTGTTGACCAAATTTATAGATAATGCCTCCACCAAATCTGCTAATTCCAAGACCCATATACCCACCTTGTCTCTGGAGATTTCCATCATATCTCCCAGCCCTTCACCCCAATATGTCAAAGTGATCTCATCACTTTCCTCCACTTGCATGACCTCTGTTTTCCACTATTCCCTAGTCATGATGGGGACACATTCCCCAGCCTCCCAGACTCTGCCTTCCCTCTCATATGCTATAACCAATTGGTCACTGGGCTTTGCTGTTTCTATATCTTAAACTGGTCTTTCTTGTCTACTCCCTCTGCCATCGCCTTAGTGCTGGCTCTCGGAATGGTTGCAAGGACTTTTGAATGGATTTCTAGCCTCTTGCCTTCTCTTCTTTCCCATCTATCTCTGTGTTGCCACCAGTGATAAGTCTGATTACAACTTTTCCTTGTTAAAACCTTTCACTCTCTGTTGGAATAGAGCCTAGGGCCGAGGCAGGGCATACAAAGCCAGTTATCATGTGGTCCCCTCAGCTCCAAGCCTCTCTTCCCCTTGAACTTCACACATCAGTCAATCCAATCTACTTCTAGTTCCCTAGACTCCCCATGTTGTTTCATTCCTCTGAGCCTTTGTACATTTCTCTCCCAGGAATATCATTCCTCTCTGCCCCTTCCTTATAACCAGGAAACATGTGTCTGTGAACATTTAAATTAGTCATCACTTCCTCTAGAAGGATTTCCATCACCATCTTTCTCTCTGTGATGCGTTAATATCTCCCCACTTTCAGAATGTGAGCATACTTTGATTATTAGGCTTAATACAATGTACACAAATTTAGTGATTTATATGTCAGTTTCTTTTGGCAGAAGGAAATCCATTTTGCTTGTCATATATAGTAGATAATATATAGAAAACAAACACTTATGAAATTGAATTGAACTAAACACAGATATATGATTATGCACTGAAATTCTCCTTGGCATCTCTTACACATGGAATCCAGTTATCGCCAAAGCCAGTGATGACTGCCAGCTGTTTTCAAAGTATCGCTAGAATCTAACTATTCGTCACCATCTTTAGCTTCCATTTTTTCTGAGGCCTCCAAAGTCTCTGACACAATGATGGTGATACCTTCCTGAATAATTTTCCTGCTTTTGTTCTTGCCCTTCACCAAAACTGATTTGCAACAAAGCAACCTGAAAGATCCTTTTGAAAACTGATCAGGATATATTACCTCTCAGCTCAAAACCTCCCAATGGCTGCCATCCCATTCAGAGGAAAGTATGAGTCTTACATGGGTTCCTTGGCCCCATCTTCTCCACCTATCACCTCTCTAACCTCATCTTCACTCTTCTTGCTTAACTCCACACACACTGTTACTCTTTCCTTTGTCCATACTCCAG